CCCCCCCCGGGCTCCTCGGCAGCCGTCTTACCAGACCGACACTAAGAACGGCTGCTGAGGAGACTAGGGTCTAGTTAGTCTTCCATATAGGTTCTAGTCTGACAACAGAGATATTTTGTTTTCATTTATACCGTTCAGTTTGTGGTACGGTTGGTATGAGGGTGCTAGGTCAATTCGCTTAATTATGCAAAAAGTTATTTTTAATATTATGAATCATACGGGCGTAAATCATGTTCTTGCGCTTTCTAGTCAGTACCACAAGGCTGTCTTGCGGTTGATCAGGAATGGATATTTTTCTTATTTCGTCGTTGTGGTTTTATCGTATGATCCTTCAACTAAACAATTCCTGGTGTTTCCAATAGTAGAGGTTAGACCGGAATAAAGAATATAAAAGCTTCTTGATGAATTATGAGATACTCAGATAGAACATTAAGCAATTTTATAGCCTTACGTGACAACATCTTTGAAAAGTAGGATGTTGACTTAAGGTGAAAATAAAATCAGAAAAAAATCAACTTCAATTATTTCTTTTAATGTCTTCCAAATGCAAAAAGGTGAAAAATTCAATCAAAAATGCACTACGACTTTCCTTAATTGCGTGACTTTCTGAGAAACAATTTGACCTCTGCCGCACCCAGTATTAGCATAATTCTCTCGCTGTAGAAACCAGCTACATTAAGCATCAAGGTGTGGATCTGATCTTTTTTTTGCTGTGCGGAATCCAAAGCCCTTCGCTTGAGAACCAACTCGTAAAAGCCTCAAGAAAGTACCCTGTGTTTTTAATTCTACCTCGCTATCCGTGATGGCCAATTTAGGTTGGATGTGGTCTTTTATTTGGTTCATTATTCTCATCGCTTTGGCTTGGCCGTTGGGCATCGTAGCGGCCGTCTTCTATGCCATCTTTTCCCCTTTTGCTGCTTGTTGTAATGGATGTACAGATTTTACTAACTTTCTAATGAGCGGGGTTAAATTACCGTACACTGCCGCTACCAATATGGTCCATGGGCGATCTGGATGCTAAATGGAATGGTACGACTGATGGACCATACAGAGAAAACGTTTACGAATTCAGTTTCAAGTACATAAACAGACTATGATCATGAAACTCTTTTGTCGTTTTTGTCACTTTGAAAAAATCCCATTTATATACTTTAATAGATGGATGAGCTATGGATTACTTGGACAAAGACATCGTTTGTTGTGGATAACTCCCCTGGAATGATTCAACTATAAACTACTAATTGTTTCAGTACATTATAACCTTCAGCAGTTTTCTATTGTTCAGCTTAGATAAACAATGATTATGATATTTTTTCAACGAGCATTTATGCTAATATAATCATAATACATCAGAAAAAGTAATTCAGTTAGAAGTTTGTAAGTCCTATATTTTAGTGATAATAATTTTAGTCAAATTTATTCAGGGTGTTTTAATTTTATTTCTTAATGATTTTAATGCCAAGCACAAACCGCAAATATTTGATGCTGGTGTCTTAATGAGCTAACCTAAGTAATGGAATAAAAAACTTCGTTTTTAAAATGTTAAAATATTATTTGGTGTGAGATTTTTATCGTTTAATACTTCACTTGGCACATTGACTTTTTTAATGAAATTTATAACTCTACATCGTAGGCCCGTTTTAGAGTGCTCACACTAACTCCGTGAAACAAATACTAATTTTTAACACTAAATAGTGATAATTAAACAATAGAAAACAAAGGATTCTGTATGAAATAGTACTAAATAGTACTATTTAATGTTCACGGTTTTAGTGCGTGCACTCTATTGTAATTTTATTAAAATTTAGTATCTTTTTTTTCTCTGGTACATATCTATATACATACATACATACACTCTAAAGGATAATGCTCCCTGTCTGACTGTTAAGAACCAATGCTAAGGAAACTTTAACAGATAATCAGGAGGATATATACTCATAATATAATTATTAGGAATATATTTAAAAACATTCAAAATTTTGAAATGTTATTAAATTATCCTATCTGCATTAAAAAAGGCATATGGGGATTGGCAAAACGCAGGAGAAGTTTTAGGAGAAGCAGGATACATAGCAATGTGCTTTCACTCTCATTCTACTCTAACCGTGAACACTAGTGTACTTTATTTTTTATTGGTGTAAATATACTTTTATTTTTTCTTTCTCTTCCAACATTTCATCTCCTTTAATAGCTTTTATAGACTTTTAATACATGTAACTTGAATTCCATTTGCTTTCAAGTGTTCACGGTTAGAGTACAACAATCTCAAAATATGTCCTTTACTATTATTATTACAAACTAAAGAATCTCTCACTTTGAATAAAAAAGAGCTTGTGCATGCTGGGTGCTCTTATAAAACATGCATCCATACCTAATTATAAAATAACTGTTATGAATCTCGTGTTCTGATTGGTTGGATGCGCGTGCTTTATGAGAGCACACAGCACGCGCACGCACTTTCAATTTCGTCATTCCTGTAATTTGTATTTTATAAAAGAAATAAAAAACTTGCTTGCTGTGCTGTGTGCAGTTATAAAGCACTTGGGGATTGGCAGAACACTCGAGAAGTGTTGAGAAGCACTCCACTACGCGTCATGCTTCTCCTAACACTTCTCTCGTTTTCTGCCAACCCCCGTGTGCTTTATAACTGCACACAGCACGCGCGCGCGTTTTCTATTTCTTCATCAGAAAGCAAATGTTTGTCCATACCCCCTACACCTTAATTGAACCCCCTAAATGAGAACTACAAACCCTCCAAAAGGATCGTTTTAATTTTATCTAACTCCCTAACGGACAAGAGAGTGTGAACCCCCCTAATTGAAGCTAAAAGCTGGGGTTTTTTATGGTTCGCCAAACTACAGCCTTTTTCTGGTCCAGTTCATCATTTCGAACACCCTAGTGGAAATCTTGGATCTCCTCTCGCATCATTTCTTGACCTTGAACATAGCACCATGTCCAGGAACAATCCAGTCAGCAACCTGCAGGACACTGTCTCTGTTCTGTGCTTGCTTATCAGGGAACTGACTGACATCCTTCCAGCTATCTTCATCATTCTCACACTCAAATAAATCACCAGCTATGACGACAGTTCCATATTGTGTATTATGCACTACTACACTAATGTCTTCACTAGTATGGCCAACAGTTGGGAGAATCACGACTTGATCAGATTCTAAAATCAAAGGATTGCCTTCCTTTAGAGAATGCTCCTTATAAATATCTTCTTCCTCGCAAATATCGTTTCCAACGATTTGAACAGCTTTAGGAAAAAGATTCAAATTCCCAACATGGTCTAAATGCCCGTGAGTGCTAATCACGTGATCTACATCCTCTGCATTCACACCATGTCTTTTCAACCCCTCCAGTATGCTGGATTTTTCCCTTGGACTTCCTGTGTCGACAACTATAACATGTTTACTGGTCTTTACTAACGTACTTGAGCCAGTAGCCCTGTACTTTCCATTGCTATCGGTCAATGAATATCCCTGCTGAATAACATGCACTTCGTTCATCTTGTCTTTACCAATTTTGAGCATGCGCAGAATATCCAACCCCGTGTACGCGGGCTCAAGTCTATATTTAAAGTCGAATTTTCTGATTTTGTGTCGGTTTTGTTGGCATATAATCAAATTCTATACATCGAAAATGTCTGGTTCTGAGCAGGATAATAAGCCTGATGGTAAAATGGTCTCTATACCTTTGTCATCAGACGATGAGCTTACATATGGAGGTGAGTATTTATAAAACTGCAAAGCTGACTAAATGTGTGTAAATATAACCCGGGATATAATTATGGGATTTGATTACGTTTTGTTATTTATACGACATGTAAGCTTGTTTCCCATTTCTTTAGTGTTTTATTTTACTCAGAAGGTCTAACTTAAAAACTGTTTTATCCGGCCTCTTTTCTCAATTGCTTTTACAAAATATTTTAATACTATTTCTGTACACGAGTCTATTGCTTGTAAATATTACAGACAGTCTAAATAAATTATATGGACATCTTTAACCATGCAATTCAAAAGTCTCTCTATCCTTGCGTCATAGGGAATTACCGAGCTAATCTTCAAGACAACAGGTCAGGTAAGACAAAGGAACAACTAAATAAAGATCCATTATTTAAATAAAGTACATGTGACATTAATTCACAGTCCTCCTCCTAAGCCTGTACACCCCTCGTTTGTTGTTGCTGTCGCTTTTGGTTTTTACAGGGAAGGGTTGCTAGCCCTTCGCACACCCTCCTCCTTTCTCATCCAGGCTTGGCACAGGCCATTGCCGAGTTAATCATTCACAGTATAGAGCAATTATTAGTATAGGAAATCACATGATCTGGAGTACAATAAACCAGTTTCAAATTCCAAATTACCGCTGTGTTTCTTGATTACAGACTCATTTGCACAGGGTTAGCCTCATATCAGTGTTTAAACAAAAATGGGGGACATAAAAGAACCTGTTGAATTATTCTTATAAGAGTAGGGGATTGTCACCCAGTTCAACAGCCTTTCCCAATCTGGAGGCGTTAATACTAACTTACTAACAAATTACTCGTGATTGTAAGCTGCACGGCTGCAACTAGCGCCTAAATTCGCAGCCCGTAAAGTCCTCCACTGGTCATGATTGTGAAGCGCATTGAGACCATGTAAAATGCGCTATATAAGAACCCCGTTATATTTTGAGTGTGTTATAATGTCACATAATGAAGTATTTAAAGACTGAGCTTATACAATCATTTCAATAAAGTTAGTCACCAAAAACCTAGAAAGCTGAGATCACTGAGGATTATGGGAAACTTTTCATATCAAAAAAGCATATATATACAAATCTTTTTTAATACAAACTGCAGCTCAATGATGCTCAGAAGAGGTGAGACTGTAACCGGTAAAAGATTCACAAGTCCATGCACAGTTATCAAGCGGTGGAACATGCAAAATGAATCTACCCATAACCCTTATCAGCCTCAGCTTTATAGCTTTTCAGGTGACCAACTTTATTGAAATAAGTGTATATAGACTACATATTTTTTATTATATATATCTAGAATGAAAAATATGTTTTAGTTTTTGATGCTGTTTTATTGGATCGGCGAAGATAATTGTGGTGTTAGAAATGTTGATGGCAGTGGTGGTGGCATAATACTTAATGGTGAAGTTGTAGTAATAAAGGGACTTTTTGTGATGGTGAGGTCTGGCTAACATCAATCGCACCTCTTCAGAGAGCTTTGGATATTTTTTTATAGAGCCACATATTCAGATCGAAATGAAGAGAATAAGATATTACTTGATGTGATTATAATAGGTGAAAGCCTTGATGAAGATGAAGCTGAAGAAAAAAACAGAATTATCAATGAAGTACTAGAATTACAGAATACTCTAGATGGTAGGTGAAACTAACCAGACACACGATGGGTTCATTTCAGTTGTAATTTCAGCAATTTGCATATATTTATGCAGCCTCTTAAGTAAACATTTTATATATCAAAAGGGGTAGAAAACATATTTTTATCCCAGGGGGTGTGGGGGGCAAAAACAAAATGAGATCTTCAGTTGACAATGCATGCACATCTGCCCAAACATTATGTAAACGAGAAAAGTTGTATGGGTAATTGCCCTAATTGACTATGATGTCAGTGCTTGTTTATGTGGGGGATAGAATCGCCAAATCCAATAGAAAATTTAACAAAATTTGCTCCTAGCGAAACAGTTTAATCTAAAATGGCCTGTTTTTCAGATATAATATGTGTTAATATGTACTAAAAAATATTCTGAGCATTTGTTGGCTATTCTACTTCTCTTCGTGGATTGATACGGATTTTAGAACAATTTTTGGTGAATTTGCGCTGATTTGACCCTGTCTGATGACCATGATCCTTTGCTTTTAAACAATAGATTGTTGAAGATTGTTTTGATGTGACATCATAGTGAAGTAGGGCAATTCACCCCAAACCCACTACCCCCTCCCCATACATACCCAATCATAATGACATGAAATTCAAAACAGGATTATGCATTACACATTCTTCTTGAATTATAAATACTTCTTGGAGTGCTAGAAAATTGAATGAAGTATTTATTATTTATTTTTTGGGGGGTTTATCAACACAGATTTGTCACAAAGAGTTGATGCAGTAAAAGATGAAAATTTGAAGTTAAAATCTGAAAACCAGGTACATCTGCATGATTGTTTTACTTTGTTCATACAGACTGGGTTTAAGGATTTACAGTCACCATTTCTATTATGTAGATGCTTCTTTTAGAGAAGACTTCCAGATTTAGCAGTTTTTAGTTATTTTAGGTACCATAAGGGGACCTTCAAAAGTGGTCCAGATAATCAAATCCATTTACACACTGTAAAAGTGTTAACCATAGCATCCCTTGAAAATGGGGGGAGAAGGCACAGTCACTTCTCAACACATGATTACAAAGATAATGAATAATTTAATAATATTGTTACCTACTCCATCCACTTGAATTTACAAGATACACTATAACTACAGTGTCATTAATTATCTATATACTTCACAGTCAAGTTTTACTTATGCATTTAATATTTCATTGTGGTCTTTTGCATTAGGTTCTTGGCCAGTACATTGAAAATCTCATGTCAGCATCAAGTGTCTTTCAACCAACCAACACAGGTGGCAAAAAAAGGTTTGACAATCAATTATTGTTTACAGTACTACATCAAAGCAATTACTCTGTCTGACTTTGATCAATACCTTATTTATAAAATATTGCATAAACCTTTTACTAAAGATCATAACCTTGTCAGTCAGTGAGCAATGTAATCTGAGCTTGAAAAGCAATCACTTGATGTGTCATTTTGATTGGTTCTCTATGTGTAAGAGATGGACCATTAGATACAGTAATTGAGGAGAGGGTTGTGTAAATCCCAGAAAAATAATATTAAGCAAACACTTCACCTACGAAAAAAATATTGCGCAACCTTTCCTTTTAGTAAAGAAGTATCGAGCAAACACACAAAAATTTGTGTGCAGCGGTTGTTACAAAAAATAAATATTGTGCAACACAAATTCCTGTAACCTCCCCCTCAAAGATCTAATGCTCCACCCCTAAGTGGCTCCGGTTTCAGTAGTCACACTGTAATAGTGTACATTAAATATATGACCAGTCAACATGTGAAAGTCAATAACAAGCTGGCCAATCATCATTTGACTCTTCGTCATCACATTACTAACCCTTTGTTGCTGCTTAAAGCAGCAATAAATTTTTTTTTTACTATTTCATTTTTACAAAGTTGTATATTTGTCAATTTTGAAACAAAACCGACCAGGTCAGGCCATAAAAATCTTAGCATTTTTCAAAAAATGCCCAATTTTACCTCAAAATTTGCATGAAATTATGAAATCTTTTGTCAGATTATAGGAAGACAGTCAAAGTAAGACATTTGGAGAAATTTTTAAAACAATGCTAATAAATGGTAAAAACTAAATGGATGTGCAGTAGCAGAGGTCTAGAACTACCTTAAGTTAGTTTATATCATTTTTTTTTCTTGAAATAAATTTATGCATTGTAATATATTTTTGCTTTAATGGTTCATTGTCATCATTGTTTTCTCTACAGGGAAAGCCCAAGCAAACCAACATCAAAGAAAGGTGACAAAAGATGAGAAAATATCAATCAGAGTTAATGATATCTAATTAAAATCACTGCAGTAAATGTTTTATTGGCATGCTTCAAAAAAAATTCTCAGTTTCAGTCAAGAGATACTTTCGTGCATGGCTGTAGTCTTATCTTGGCTAAACTGCCCTCTTATTTGTAAATAGATTAAATATTAAGTTATGTTGGGAAGTTTTATAGACTTCATGTTGTTTTATTTAAGGATACAGCACCTTAAAATAATGCAAAATACAACGTACATGTGCATTGCAGTTATTTGTAAAATTCAAATTGAAAATGTTATACAAACACAAAAATTAAATTATATTATGGATGATTTTAAAACATTACAATGCACAATCCAAAAGCAAAATTGACTGCTTTGATGTCAACATTTTATTGCATTTTATGTACCAAAAACATTTCTCTTCAGAAAAAAGTTGGTAGTGAGGGGGAGGGTGGGAATGCATTTCTCTGGCTTGCCATCCTCACATGGTAGTACTAATAATCTCAATGAAAGGTTTTCATACTTTGTATTCTGAAGTATGGCAGGATATTTTCAGGAACAATTAACAGTTGGCAGTGGTGAAATCGAATATAAAGCTAGTAGCCATAGTAGAAAATTGATAGGCAAGGTGGTTCCCTCTATCATTTTTCAGCATGTATTTTTGATTTGAGCCCACATTTCAAGATCCTCCCCCTTCCCAGCAGGGGTTGTTATTGTTATCCTCACTTAAGCACTGCACTTGTGTATATTCAATTGTAATGAAAAAAGTTGCATTTTGGGAGAGTTTTTTGATTGGTTACCCCCCCAGAAAGCAAAGCATTATGGGCTGTGGGAGAGTAGAGAATGATGACACTCCAGTTGTTCTCCGTCTGTAAAACCAACAGCCCAAACAATCCACGATCGACCTTACTTCGTTATATCACACTGACAGCAAATTAAATTTTTACCATTCATAAAGTTTTCTGATCAACCCCTTATTATTGTCTACAAAAAATAACCAACAAGTCTCCTCAGCTTTATAGCCCACATATTTTTATTTATAGTATTTTAAATAAAACGGAATTAATTGATCATGGATAGAAAATTGTACTAAAGTAAAGTGCACAGCACTGATATTCACCTTAAGAAAATAAGGTTTACATTGAAGACACTTGAACCATGAAAACCTTAATTTTTTTTCAGGTTATTATTTCCTAAAGTTTCTACTGTTTCTTACCCTATAAGGTAAATCAATGATTTCAAGTACACGAGTGAAAAAAATGAATGTCATTTCCAATCGATGTGCTCACTGACTGATAGATTAGGGTTAGATTACAGTATGTATTTTAGAAAAATTGACAAAAAACTTGAAGCGTTCACTGTTCGAGTGTCCTCACTGCAAAACATAGATTTGTCCCTTAATGAGGCTGGATACGACTCAGCTTAACTTAGGGCGCTTTCCATTAAGCCGGACTGACCAGTTCTAGTGGCCAGTTCTCAAATTCTACGTGTCAGTTCTCATTAGTTTTTAGAACTCAGTCAACCAGTTCTATAGAACTGATGCATACCATTTGAGAACTGGCCGCTAGAACTGGTCAGTTCAACTTAATAGAAAGAGCCCTTAGTACAGTAGGCCTTCTATTAAGCAGCCAACCTCTATTTAGTGGCTAGTTTTCAAAGACCCAATGAGGATTCTTGCACTAAGATGATACCTCTAGTTGGTCGCCAATCTAGAAGTTACTGAAATTCATTTAATTCAACCTAGCCGTGAATCTGTGTATTAGAATTATGTGAAAACTATTTCCTATTTAGATGTTTTCAAGGTACAAAAGGGTCATCTTTACCAAAAGATGTGAAGGTGAAAATTACGAACTCTAATCGTTATTCTTTTATGATGAGTCCAACAGTTTGACATCATGGTACCAGTTCTAACAGAGCACTCTATAGGAAATTCAAAAACTCAAGGGGCCGGTAGAGACAAGGACTGGATGTACGAAAACCAAAGGGCGAAAATGGGGGCAGGGGGACATCTTTACAAGACCTTTTTCTCTTCTCCATTTTGGATCCGAAAATCGTTTTACAAAGGCGTGGCATATACTGGAGAACTCATAATAATATCATTTTATTTGAGAGCATCGTCAAGTCTAACAAACTTTTCTAGCAGGCAGTTGATGTCATAATCTTTTCAAAGTACGCCTTAAAGAGGCTATAAGAGCTGTCATAGAAGACATTTTCTCTGCCACGGATTGCAATCTCGATTCGTTAGGATAAAATCTTGCTGCTTCTTCGACCTTCACAATTAAGTCGTTGTAAAGAGATACGACATCGTTTAGGATTCCAGCAAGCATTCGTACGCTATAAAGAGAGATTCTCTGATGTGAAGTTGAAGCTAAAACAAAAGAGCTGACTAGACTTTGAAGACTCTCTAACGATGATTTTATAGTCGGGATGACGTCACTGTTCATTTCTTGGACATTTATATTGAGAAGTTTGAGGTCAGATCCCAGAAGCACAGCATTATCGTGGACTCCCTCTTTCCATTTGTTGCTGTTTGCATAGGGAAAATAAGAAGACTTTAATGCCGAGCTTTGACAATCATCAACACAACCTTGAAGCCTGAGTTTCATCCTTTCAGTTAAATCTGCGGTTTCAATTTTTGCAGAAAGACATTCTCTTTTAAAAACTGAAGATTCGTCATCGAGACCCATTTCACCATTGTTTTCACCCAAATGGTCTTTATCTACGGCGCCAGCACCATCAATTTTCACATATTCATCAGACGAACCCACATCGAGTTTACCTTCATTGTAAACCATATCTTTATAGTGCTGAGTAGGCATCTTGTTGTTCATGGTTCTTTTAACTGGTGCTTTTCTCTGCAATCGAGGACTTTTGTCTTCGTCAGTGACAGCCTCACTTTCCAATTCCAAATTCCAATTACTCGAAGGAGGATTCACCTCTTCTTCTTCAGACGGCTTATCATTGGATTCTTTTAGCAGGTAGCAAGGAAGAAATACAGGAATTGTTTGTTGTTTGGTCACAGAAGGTTTTAACGATTGCTTAGGGGTTTTCACGTTTAGGTTTTTACTTTCGTCAACTTTGTTGTCAGTTAAAGTTTGTTGCTTCTTGGTACCATTAACATTGTCTTTCATCTTCGGAGAAATAGTTGGTGATTTATTTTTCATTCTATTAAAGTCTACAGGTTTTTCTTGTCCTTCAAATAATTTTGTCCTATTTTTCACATATCCTTTGTCAGTTGTCGATTTGTCCAAAGAAACTTGTTCGACATGTGACTTCTCAAATTTTCCGCTCAGTCCCACTGGACCTGCATTAATCTGTTCAGTATCTTCGACGAATTGCTTGTCATTCTTTTGCGCATTAGTCGATAGCGATATAGCTCTGTGTTGACTTTGCTTTGGTAAATGCGGCTTAGTTTCAAAGCCCTTGTTCACCAAGGTGTCATTTTCCATCGTGAATGGTACTTCATCTAAGCAATCGTAGTCGTTTTCATATGGCATACCATTCCTCGGAATGTCGGTAACTGGTTTCTCTTCCAAAGGAATTTGGTCAATCACCTCCGGGACACCATTTTCACTGCTTTTATCCCGAGCTAAAACGCTCATTCCATCAGTTATACAGTTCTTTAGTTCGTCATTTCTTTCTTGTTGCATTTCCATATTTTTTTCAGGGGGTTGTGACGAAGATGTTTCTTCAAAGGGATTTACTCTTATGTCCTTGTGTCCTGTTATACCCGGCTCCAGTGTCTTAAATAAAGCAACATTCCTAACACTTAGATCTTGGATTTCCCCAAATACCTCGTTACGTTCATCGTCGAAAAACTCATCTTCGGAAGTCCTTTGCGAATCATTACTTAAGCTATAACAAGACACCATGCTACCGGCGCTATTATAGTCATCTGTAAAAATCGAGCTCGAGGATTCCGATGACCGGCATTGAGTCAAATTCACAGGCACGAATTCATCGTCTGCTACATTTTTGGAATCTTCCAACTTGAGATTTTCCAATTTTTGCCTATTCTTTTCTATATCGTTAATGATGTTTTCTTTATATTTTCCAGTTGATATTGGTTCTTCCTTTTGGATAGAGCCATCTACATGTGAAGGAGGCGGAGATACAATTCTTATGACGGATCTAAAAGAGGAAGCCATAGGTGGCGGAGGAAGAATCATACCATCTATTTCTAACTCATTAAAAAGGTTGTCATTCAGTTCGACAGGGGGAGAAGATATAGACTTAAAAGTAGGGCTAATGGGTGGAGGAGAAGCAACAAAGATATCGCTGTCAAGGAGTTCTTCGGTTGATCCTGGAGGAGAAGGAATGATCCAGTCCATTAGTGAAAATTCCTGAAAATCTATGTCATCCTTCGTTAAAATAGCGTCGCCATTGTCTGTGGGGTCTTTGTTTAAATTATCTAAAGTGTCTTCCGAATCGCCAGGATCATTCCCGAGCAGTAAAACTATTGGGGAGGATTTGTCCATAACATTCTTCAAGTCTCTCGTCGTAACATCCACTACATCATCAATTCTTCTATCCATCTTGGAGACTTCGTTCGAATCGTCGTTGTCGTGCTCAGTAGAAATTAAAGTTTTTGGACTGTTATCCTCGTCGTCTTGGTCCATTCTTCCAGGTAAAGTGTTTTTGCGCCTTCCATGCTGCTCTACCTCGTTAAGGTAGCTTTGTGAAAGGAGTACCTTATTCTCATCAGTACCTTTTTGCTTAGCTTTTGACAAATTATTACTCATTTTTGTGTCAGATTCAACCAGCGAGTCCACTTCGTCAATACTAACTTTTGCTTTGAAGTTAGACATTTTATTTCGTTCTTCACTCACAACTCTGGAATCCTGATACCTAGGACCACTATCAACGTTATTTGAGCCCTGGGATGATAAGGATGACAAATCAGAATCCTTTTCCTCCAGTCCATTACCTCCATCCACGATACTGCCATCCGCCAACAATTCGTCGTTGAAATCGTTTGTTTCTTTGGGCATCACGGGTCGCCTTACAGCTAGGATATCTTGGTCTTCCCTTTGCTTATAAGACAGCAATTGAATCCCAACTTCATTGACACCGTTTTCATCAATATTTTTATCTTCTTCATCTTCCTTGCTAGATGCTTTGTTTTGCGATGCGTAGTCTTTCTTATCATCCAAGTCCCTTTCCCCTGAGTCCCCAAAGTTTTCTTTTTTATCAAAAAAGTCTATTTTCTCGGAAGATAATCTATCGAAAGTGTCCTCAAAAGAAGGCTTGTCCTTTTCACTTGTGGTAATAGTAAAGCCATCGGATGAGTGTTTGCCTACATTTGATGAGAATTCTGTTTCGATTTTGAGAAGGTTCCCAGTATTTTCTTCATTGCGATCATCATGATCATAATCGTCCTCCTCCTCCTCCTCCTCCTCATCATCATCATGGTCATACTGAAATTTATCTTCATACTTTAAAAAGTCTTCCCCATTTTTCATATCTGCTGGTGAGCCATTTTCGTGGGGGTCGATATCCCCAGTAAAACTAAAATCAGCAAGAAGGTCAAGAGAATCCTTCGCAGAAGTTCCAGAAACGTCATCAAGGTCAATATCATTTATATCAAGACTCTGGACGCTTCTCCCTTGTTGCAGCTCATTCGCCTCCACATAATCCTTTTTCAAAAAATCGCGTATTACTTCATGCTCTAATTTCTCTCCATCGTATTCTCCATTGCCAGTGATTCCTTCACCGAGATTCACTTCATCATCATCCTTATTGTGTTCTTGATGACTTGATTTCCTCCCCTCATAAAAGGGCTCAATTTCTTCATCACTATCTGCATCGTCACCTACCATCCTATCTGGCTCACCATCTTTTTCATTTTCTATGTTATCGTTAAGTATTTGATTTGATTCCTTAATTTCATCAGGACTAGCATTTTCACTGCTCTCAAAATCTTGAGATTCTTTTTGACTTTCGCTTGAAGACGCCTCTAATGAGAACTCTATTCTTTCATTTCTGTTCCGACGCCAAATTTCTTCAGCCATAGTAAGTTGAGAAATATAATCATCCTCGTCCTGTTCTTGATCTTCGTTTTTCAAATTTTGACTTTCTTCTGCGATGCTGTACAACGTACGCGTTTTACTTGGTGAATCCACCATCTCAGAGTCATTTTCACTTTCAAGGGAGGTTCGTGTTCCTTGTTCGTTGGAAGACCCCGAATTGTCAACCTTAAATCTTTTCCCAGAACCAGACTCGGAAGGCGCAACTTCCTCGTCTGTTTCATCTGCATTGATTTCTTCGGAGGAACGTTTTGCAGCAATATGATTGCTATCTACATCTACTGAATTGCTATCATTCACGGGTCCATTTGCATCTCCCGCGTTAGATGGAGTGTACTTGGGTGGATCTTTTGTCAAGTCTAAATTAAAATGATGATCAGAATTGCTGCCGGGAACTTGCAGAAAAGATGGGTAGGACCAGGTGTCTGGGATGACTTTGTGCAACGATGCGTACAGTGGGATATCTGAAAAGCCAAAAGAGAAAACATTAACCAAACTAACTAGAAACGAAAGGAAATAGTTTGCAGATACATACATAATGTGTAAGAAACTTCCAAGATTTTATAGTGGGCCACCTTTACTTTGATTGTTCAACAGACCTTTCAATTAAGCTTGAGGGTAATATTTCCCCATTTCAGACAACGCTTAATTCTCTTCAAGATTTCTCGTTTGAGTTGTTTCCATGTGTCTTCTCATGCACAACTGTTAAACAAAGAAATGATGCTCTAGGGAATGATACGTGGTCTGGAATGGGAAAATATAAACGCCGTCGCAAAACTTAACAAAACTCCATGAAGATTTATTAATGGGAAGGAATAAACTTTAAGCAGCAAGTTTTCTCTCTTAGGGATGTGAATATCCTTCTGCGTTTCCTCCCACAGGTAATTCGATGTAGAAAGACAAAGATATAAGATTTATAACAGCACTAATGTAGAATATTACCATGGTCAGTCAACGGAGCAAGCGGTTCCTGTTTCTCTCCTTTAATAGTAAGTTTTGCTATGGTGCAATTCCATAATTTCTGATAACCAACGATAAAAGTAACAAGATCCATGCTATCCAAGGGTTTCATTAGTAATACCAAATCCTGTGTGTAAAAATATATCAAAACATAAGTATTTTTCATTCACTCGTTTATTCATGAGCATTAATTTATTCATTCATTTTATCCCTTCCTCCCTTTACTACTGTTTTCTTTTTTTGGCTTCTACATGAAATATATTCTACACTGAGACTGCTTGCTCATCATTGCCTTTCGTTAGATATTTGGGGCTGTTTGCTTTTACTGATTAACGTAACACTATTGTAAACTTTATTTTCTCGTACACATTAACTTTACTTAACGAACCTTGTTATCCGCCATTGTTATTGTCAAAAGTCGCTTTCCTTCAGCGTGAAATGAAATGGAGAACTCAGAGATTTGTTCCAGTTCAGCTAGTTGACATAGCTGCAACAAATCAAATGCCATATAGTCATTAATTGACAAACAAGGGTTTAATTTTAATTCGTGGTCAACTAAAATTCTTCCAAGGGGTAGAAGGAAGGCAAGGACAACCAACAAATTTGATGTGCTTACCACATTAATCTTGCCTTTTACCATCTGACTTAAGCCATACTTAGGACTAACAAGAACAGTTGCCTCTTGATGTCTCGCCTAACAAACAGAAGATATATCAAGTTAGATCATACCATTCTGGTATTTTAAGGCATGAAAAAGCTTAGAGGTAATTTCCACGATGCGGATTAAACCTGTATAGTTCCCTATTTTATTTATTCTATTAGGAAAACCAATTCTGGTCAAGCCATGCACATACCTTGCGTGACTTCGTGTCACTGCCTGCACCACCATCGTTAGAATAAAGTATGACATTGAAGTATTTTCCTCCAAAACACACCAGTTCACTTGCCAGATTCAAGTACTGCTTCTTGCACTCTTTGCTTGTCAAATACCGTTGACCAAGTCCTGCCAAACTCTGATTAAACTTAATCTGCTGTTCCAGTACTTTTCTTAAATCTTTAAGCTTCACACCGTTTATTATGTTTTCAGGAAGAAAGTGCCCTAGTCCATCAAAGTCTTTTTCGACACTCTTAACGGAAATTTTTGTTGGCATCTTATTTTTGGCTTCTGTGGCTTTCTGCTGCATGTGAAGAGCTGCGAGCTTGATTGCTAGATCGTATCTGAGGTCAATCTCGAATAATCCATCTACAATGTCTTTACTTATCTAAAATATACCAAAGACAAGTAAAAATTACGAGTGCAATCCATATTCTGAACTAGTCTAGGTTCACCAAGGTTAACGTTGGAGATAAACGCTATCAATTCCATGCAAAACCCACCTGGTCATAAAGATAGTCAAAGGCGACTGGATCTTTCTCTAATAATTCGTTGGGATGGCGTGGAATAAAACTATAATGAAAGAAAATCAACTTTTAGGAACAATGAAATGAGGTCCTGAATGTAAACAACCCGCGCGGCTTTGCGCGGTCGGAGGATTATTTTTAGGAAGTTAGGATCAATAATAATTAAATTAGAAACCTGTAACGGTATTAGTGAGATAGCATCTACTGAGGCGCCTCAAATTAAATAAGCCCCAGCCTCGACAAAGCCCCCGCCCCTAAGGAACGTTGTAGTCCTTTCCCCCTTGCCAGGCCTTTGAAAGTTAGTCATCTGTCGAGATTAGGAATTAAAATAATTATGAATTTCAAAAGATTAGGAAAATTTATTAAGCCCCCAGCTTCTAAAGTCCCCCCCCCCCCCCCCTCCTTCTGCTAATAAGGCCCCAGTCCAAAAGCACTGAAAAAGAATAAGCCCCTATAGGGGGGGGGGGGGGGCTTAATAGATGAAATACGGCTGCAACAAAGCCGGATTATTCGTGTAAAACTTACCAAATCCGTAGTTTACAAACCCAAGAAGAACGACTACAGTTTCTATTCAAATATATCTGCAAAATAATTAGAGTTAATGATTACAATAATTTCCACTCAAAATTCGACGTCCTTAATTGAATTTATCAAAACGTTACGCAAACAGACATGCAAAGAGGCTTTATAGAACAAATTTTACACTGCACTTGCAACAAGGGGAGAGTGGGGACTAATAGGGGATATTTCTGGGGACTTTGTAGAATATTTTGCCCAGGGGTAGTGAGTGGTGGAAGACCAGGAATATTTTAAGCCATGAGGATATTGGGAGCTATTAGTGCTGAACTGAAAAATATCATGGCAATTGCAGAAAGGAGAGAAAATAACAGCAAGCAGTTGGAACAATCAATACATTATTCAAAAAAAAGAGATATCGTTCAGTTAACTCTTAAACCTCTTACCTCGGAGACTTTTTCGTGATTTTGTAAGAAGGATAGCTGGTTCTTTTGGGGCCCACTGAGGACAAGACAAAAATACTCCATTGCCTTTATATCGAGCTTAGGACCCAAGGTATTGAAGATTTCCTTGAAAAAAACCGTATTAAGAATGTGATTACATAATCAAGTATCATCTACGATACGCTTTGATAGAACTTTATCCATCAAAATAACGAGAATGACACATCTTGACAGTACCTGTACAGTAGTTTTGGGGTTGTAGTGAAATGATCTTGTTTGGCCGTTTTCTAGGAAAACTTTAAGTACGTTCGGTAGAATAGGCAAAGAAGCCTGAAAATAAGACAGATAATAAAAATATCATATAAAAGGACGGGCAAAGGGGGGCACAGTTGCCCCTTTAGAACTAGAAGTGTCAAGTTCTGTAGTGATCATTCGCAAAATTCGGTCAAGCCCCCCCCTCCCCCACCCCCATCATATCTTTGGCGGGATCCGCCCCTGTCAGGAGGATCAACCTTGATAGCAATAGCGACAACGCAAAACAAGCTGCATTCTGATCTAGTAGTTTCGGTGGGGTACAACCAATAGACCTTTTTCGAGTTCTGTGTTCTATTGCTACTGCAACACCTATACTGGTCTACGCTCCTATATATCAATACTGTACTGGTATAAGAATGGATAAGATATGAATCATGGATATTAGTATTTCTACAATTTATGTACTTACTCTTCTGGCTTGTTCGGCAGGACCAATATACTGCACCATATCGTCGGCGAAGCGCACATTAACAGGCGACGATCGACGTCTTTCTCGAGTTGCTCTGCTCATTAACGATGATCTTCGCGGGCCCTAACGGTGATAAAGTTTTGACATTGAGGATCTTCATTTTAGGGTGAGGGTGTTTTATTCATGGTTAAAGAGACAAATCCCTGCAGTGTTATTATTGCTTTGGTCCATATCAGTCGTATAATGAACTTGTTCGGTTATCTGTACCGATGATCTGATACCTACTTTAAAGCCTTTCATTATTTATCGACCAATGTCTTGATGCTAAGAAATTCTTATTGGCCCGTACCTGATTCTTGGCATCTTGCAAGTCTTCGCTAGATACAACATGGATCTCTAACTCACCACTACACGCCCTGAAAATTCAAATACCAACCAGTTTTCAATACCACTAAGAAAAAGCATGCAAATAGGATATCTTTAAGAGCAGATATGGAGCCTTACTTGATAAGACTAATGACACGTTCCTGAGGCACTTCACTAACGTCTACTCCGTTAACTTTTAGAATCTGATCGTTAGAAAATAGCTTTCCATGTGACGGCCCGCCTGTAAATAAAACATGAAATCAGTTATATTGCCCTAATTCAATGCCTCAGCGGACGTAGCCTTGATTTACGGACGGGTTAGGAATGATGATGATGATGGTGATGGCTACGATGATGAGAATAATGACGTTTATAATGATAATGATGATGATGATGATAATGATGACGATCATGACGATGACGATAATTTATTCATTTATATTAATTGCGCAGATTAAATATGATGATCAAACGCATTACGACTATTTACTATCTAAAAATACGTTATAAAAAAACTTAAACGAATATTATAATTATAACAATTCGATATTATTCGACTAAGGATTGCGCATTACGCCCACAACACTTTATTTATACAGCGCACACCTCGGAATATTGCGGCCAATTTGCAATTGTAAATTCCTCCTAGGCGATAAAAGCAATTTAATCATATACAAGTTGTTCTAAATTCCCTAGGATTGCGACACTTTATTAACGTCAGGCACCTTGTTTTAATCTTTTTATAAGCATTTATAGGAAAAACAAGCATTAATTAAAGTAATTATTGAGGTTGTGCATAATTCTCATAATTCAAATAATTCTCTATGAATTTAAATATGTCTCCCTTTTTCTTCACCTAGAATTTCCGCGCCGAAAAACCACTCCTTTTTCGAGGAAAAGACTCTAACAGCATTTAAAGATAGTTATTTTGAGATATCCATTAACAAAATGCATATTGGCATAGATTTAATCTGGATATTTCCGTTCATTTGATTAAAGAGACGATCGAGAAAATCATTTATAAGTTCAAAATTTGTCGTTCATAAGTCTATCAGATGTCATCCACGGAGCTGTTGACATATCGCAACTAAATGATGGCCGTACAGTTTCAGTTCTAACTTTTTAACCCCGCTCTAAAATCTGTAGAACCACCTAGAATTTTGTAGACGCAAAATTATATCGATCAACAACCTAACCCGGTAAACAGCCCAAAGTTAACTTCGACCTTTGGTTTGATGGTGATGATCACTAACCGATCAATACTGATGGCCTTATGCCTGCGGAAAGCCTCATAAGTAAAAGATTGCTTATAATATATGAGCTTATAATAATATGGGCAGAAATGTGGCTACGGGGAAATAAAAGAAGACGATTTCGTCATTGTTTCCCCAGCAAAGTCTCGATTTTGATCTTTTTGTAAGCGATCACTAATCGACAATCACATTATTGAAAATGGACCTCTGCATACTAAAACACATTTTCAGTCGTGCAGGTGTATGACGTAAAAAGTGTATGATGTTCAAAGAAGGTATCCAATATACACCTACTTGCAAGAACGTTGACATACGAAAATAGAACATTAGTGATTTAGTGGGATAGGAATTATATTAAAAAACAAAAGAAGATCACTGAAGCTGAACCGTTTCTTTGTCAAGAATTAAGAGGGGGCCCTGGCCCCCTTGGCAACCCCCCGCCTACGCCCTGAATATTGAAAATAATAACTGATTCAAAAGATAATTTTTTCCAATGGTTATGGTTTATGTGTTTCAGTTCAAGAAGTGAATATTCTATTATCTGATCCTTACCCGAGATGACAGAACGAATGACGACAGGTTTTTCACTACCAGCAACAAACCCGAACCCTACAAGGAAAAACATCATATGCTGTCAGATGAAGGAAATAATATAAATTGAAAGCCAAAATCACTTATCAATTAAACTAGAAAAAACGAAATGAATAATAGAGTGCTCGCACTAAACCCGTAAAACAAATACTAATTTTTAGTACTAAATAGTGATAATCAGACAATACATGGAAAACAAAGGATTCTGTATGAATAACTACTAATTAGTACTAAATATTATTCACGGGTTTTTAGTGCGTGCACTCTAACATTAAAAGTAAAAGTAAATATTAGAACAAGACTAGCATATTTTTGATGTCTATAAGTTCTGAGGAAATGAATAAAGTGAAACTTTCCTTTTTAGAAATTCTCTTTCGCTCTCCTTAAACTGATTAATAGTGACTTAATTTCGGATAACGTTTTTCGTTAATTAACGGACGTACAAAGTTTTTTTTATAGCTACAGTATATAGATTTAAGTGTAAAGAATATGAATTAGGGAAGCTGTTGCAGACATTGTCGTTCCGTCTTTAATTACTTCCCGGAGTATGCCTGCAATTTTACACTTTTCGGGGAAAAAAAGATTTTTCCTTGCTTATAAAAAATAAAAAATATATAAATATTCTGGAACGTCTGAGGAAAGTTCCGTGTCGTACTTACCCAAAGACGGATCTCTTTTGATTTGAACTATTCGAGCTCGTGCGGCCGCCTAATAAACATACAAGAAGAAAATTATACAGCAACATTACCACTGTAATTACTATTTATGTTTACGGATAAAAGAGAAAATAAACAAGTTGTCCTCAAAGTACTAATAATTTCTGTATTGACTCTGTACTGCACTGTTTCAAAATATCTCACAAAAACAATTTACAAATGTAAATAGCTACGCCTATAAAATGTTAGCGTAAGAGAGCTAGGTTGTGGAAAAGGAAGTGCACTTAGTCGTACTAGCCGTCCAAATTTTCCGGCCTTTGTCCGCAGAACATACCATGTTACAATTAGCGCGATAAAACAATTTTAAGATTTTTGACTTCTGTTTTTGATTTAGAAGTAAAACTCAGGTTCTCTATCTACGAACTAGACCAAACGTACTAAAAAAAGCCATAAAAACAATTTCAAGTATGCTTTGTGCGAGCAGAAATACTGATCTCGACACCCGTTAATTTACAGCTTCACATTGATGAAGAAATAGAAAACGCGCGCGCGTGCAATGTGCTCTTATAAAGCACGCGCTCCAAACCAATCAGAACGCGACATTCATAACAGTTATTTTAAAAAAGATTTTATAACATTTTAAAAATACCATTTGCAAATGTGTGCTTGCTTGTTCGGCCTCAGAGCGTGGATCCTCCAGAGTGGAAATCTTGTTGACATGACTGTAAATGACAGCAAAGAATAATCTCATTATGACCATTCATTAAGGTAAGTATCTGGTTGAACTCTCTAATGAGTAACTAAAATTAAAGATGTAAAAATGTATACAAAATATAATGAGCATAACATCGATTCGAGGAAATGCCGTCCCAATATTACTCTATTACCAATTAATATAATCACTTGCCACATTTTGCTCGCCACTTTATAGAACGTGCCATACAACTAACGAAGGCTTTACATCCTATCAAGCAGAGACTACTCAGTTCTTTACGCAACTTAAAAAAATTCCAAGTAATTTTCGAAATCTTAAATTCCAATCTTAACCTTGAAAAATATGAGCTAAAATTAATGCATATTAAATTTAGAGAACCATTTTTTTTCTGTTTGTCCAATCAATCCCATGGATGGAAATTGACCAATAGAATTACTCCTACTATTTTCCCGCCATTTACCAAAGCGTGCGTTGGGATATTTTTCGAAGACGCGAGCAAATAGTCTGAAATGGCCGTCGTTACCGTCACGTTCTGTTCTTATTTGCTCTACAAATATTATCAAACTTTTGTCAAAAACAACCAAACTACTATGATATGTAGGGTATGAGAAGGATATCTGCGTTTATGAAGCTTCTAAAAGATGTGTAAGTTTATAGAACACTCCCTTCAAATTACATAGAACAAACGCTGAATCTAAAAAAGAAAATCCCGTGTTGAGACTGAATGTTGAATCCGAAAAATAAGTTATAGTGAATTGAATTCTAGTTGTTTATGCTTAACTGTTAACCATTAACTGCTGAAAACATGGTAGACAGCTAGCAACTTAACAAACTTTATAGTTACAATAGAATTCCTAATCCCTACCGCAATAATATTTTCAAAATGTTGTTTCACGAGATGGTTTTATAAAATCCTTCTACTAAGCTAAGGGGGATAATTGGAGGAACTTTGTTTCTGCAAAAGAATTCGATTTCAATTTCAATCAATTTTGTATGTTTGAGAGGAGCTGTCTCTGAAAAAGAATTGCCACTTATTGTCCTATATTAGATGTCCTCTAGCTGTAACCAAGGGGTGTAATTTTGGAAGGAAATACATGGTTGGAGGGCCACTTATTTTCATTAATTAGATTAATTAGCAAGATTACATTTATTTAACTAGATACTTTACACTTCCCCCACTTACTTGATGAAGTAATTTGTATTACTATTAGTTACACCAGCTTCCCAGCCATATGGAAGACCAAACTTACTGGACCAAAGATCTACTGGTGGCAGCCATTGTGTTACATTGGTGTCTAAGCTAAAGATGAAAAACCAACAAAAAGGTATAATTTATCTATTATATAGTTAAAAAAATATTATTTTATCAATATCCAATAAGAACAATTTCAAGGAAGGTTGCTGTACCCTAGAAAGGTGTCACATATGTAGCATCCGTTTTAGGTTTTATATCTTTTACTAATTTTTCAACTCCAAAGGGGGTGGCTAGCCACCCACTTCAATCCCTGGGTCTGCTCTTCAATATCATTTATCTACTGTATGTCTATTTATAATCTTTTTAATCCCATAATTCAAAAACACCATGTGTTAGTGAATTATGTTTCTGTTGCTTCTCAAGTGCTCTACTGCTCAGAGAGTGTTTATATCATTGTACAGACTCAAGAGACAGAATTTAATATTGCTTTTATAAAATATTTTTGAATGATATAGCACAAGTGTGTCTCTGTCCTCTGAAATAAACAGGATAGCCAGGATAGACCTTACATCTATTTCACCCCGGCCTGCTCTCAGTCTGACCTCTAGCTCAGCTGGTAGAGCATCAGTAGTACAATTCTGAAGGTCGGAAATTAATTTTCAGAATTTAATTCCCAGGGTCTTTCGCCCGGAATAACCTCGTTCCCAAGCACTATAACTTATCTATATTTCTATATCTTTATGTATTTTTTATATTATATCTTTATCTTTTTGTATTTTTTATGTATTAAGTGCTACGCAGTCCACATATTCTCATCTTTGCAACATAATTACTGCGACCTAACATCTATTTCACCCCGGCCTGCTCTCATTGTGACCTCTAGCTCAGCTGGTAGAGCATCAGTAGTACGATTCCGAAGGTCGTGGGTTCGATTCCCAGCTAGGTCGGAAATTAATTTTTCCGAATTTAATTCCAAGGGTCTTTCGCCCGGAATAACCTCGTTCCCAAGCACTATGACTTATCTATATTTCTATATCTTCAAAGATAGTTAGTCAGTTAGTGCATTCATTATATTTCAAATATTTTATAATTTTCTATAATAGGTAGATAGTAATTTTAAAATAAAAATGTAGAAAAACCTTGACTATTATATATATATAAATGATAAAGATCAGATATTCTAATGGAATTAGATATAATGTATTGAGCAGTTATATTATCAATCCAAAACCCTTGCCAATTTTTTTATTTTTTCCCATTAATCTAATAACAAATAATAAGTATGCTAGTCCTTAAAATAGTACTCAACAAAAAATCATCATATGAAATTAAAATATTAAGGATTACAATTAGTACAAAAAATACAATTAAGTTGAAGGATATGCTCTATTAAACGAATACACCATTAAAAATGCATGCATTTTATCAGAGAGTGCCTATATACTTTAACTAACAATACCAATTAAAACAAGACCTTTTGTATAAGGAGATGACTAGAAGTTATTCAAGCGTAAAATAGATTAATGACCTAACATTTGATTACCAAAATTAAGTGCCACAGGGCCAATGGCTCTTTCAAAACTACAACTAGCTGATGTTGTAGATAAAGAGTGAAATACCACTCAGACTGGGTGTATACTTTCATCATCTACAGGTAATATATATATGCATTTCAAAAAGGGGCTAAAGGTGATAAATGATAAGATAGCAGGCTATTGCAAGATCTAAGAATAGCTGATGTGACTTGTGTTTCTTGTTATTATTCTCAAGAACACAGAGGTTTATATTGAGATATCTAGTGTTGGTTATAAAAAGATATAACTAGCTAAAAACTAGTGTTGGTTATAGTCAAGGAAACCATTTCAAAGACCTTGATTTTTTGTATTTTGTATGCCCATAATTCCTTTCAGTGACCTTGCAATGACCTCCGACAACCTTTTTTCACATAGGTTTATAAAGTATATATCTTTTAAAAACTCATTAATAATTCATGAAGGAAACACAATAGAAATCATGACCATGAAGGTGATTTTATATCTGATATAGATTCGTCTTCATTTGCACCAAACTTGGTTCATTTTGTAAAGAATTCAGTACAATATGAGAACATGCATCATCAGTTTTTTAAGAAGTTCAATAAACTCGCAGATCGTGTTTTATCAGGTCTAAAAACACTCGGCTAATAATGTGCTCTGATGTATTTACTATTTGCATTACAAAAAATGCTTTTAATTTAGAAACTAAAGGCTTGCTCCCTTTTTTATTTTAAATGACTTGATATCATGTTCTTTGCTTTGTTTTAAATTATAAATTTTTTTTCTTGCTGCTATATGCATAAATTTTCAGCATAGTTTAGCTTCTCTTGTTTTTATCTTGTTTGCCAGCAGAGAAAAAAATATTAATACATATATATGTCTGTGGATTTACAAGGTAATTTTACATATGATATATAAGGCAAACCATGAGTTTTATCAATTATGTTATACAGAGATACACATGAAGTGTATTATAACTAATGATCTTCTCAAAAGAAAACTAGCAAGTATAATAGTTTTATGACTCTGTCAGCGTATATAACATAAATGATGAGAAATGGAATAAAAAACTCAAACATACTGAAAAAAATATGCTGATGATCCAATCATGTAAGCACAACATAGTCCATTCAATAATAAGTCCTCAAGCCTTAGTCCTTAGTGCTCAAGCCTGAATGGGCTATGAGTCAATACCCATGATGCCAAAGGCTGACTATGGTAGGTTAAAAATATAGATGCAAACAATTTTGAATTAAAGTTAAATTCAATGTTTTGGTTTTCAAGGCCGGCACTTTTCTCTTCTAGTAGGATATAAATTATTGCCTAGTAGTGCTGTAGCTCATACAATCAGAACTCATCATTGATGATAGTCCACTAGTTAAATTTGAATGAAATCTGATACAACAGTTAAGTTTACCTTTTATTTATTTATTTATTTTTTGGTTTATTATATTGGATATATATTGCTCTAAAGTTGATATATATATATATATATACAAACTTTTTTCAAATAATTATTTAATGCTGAGTATATATATATATATTTATAAAGAAATATCTTGAATCTTGCTACAGATGAATATTGTAAATAATTTTTTTAATCTATTAAAAAAAAAAGCATAACAGAATCAAACCAGGAATCTTAAAAATGAGCTATGTCTGGAAACACTAACTTTTTAAACCTAAAAAAACACTGAGTAAAAAGATTAACTGAAGTACCGTCATTTTCTCATACATTGATAAAAAAGTTAAAGCAGTACTAGTCCAACTGGGTGTACTTAATTGTTTAGAATTGTCTAAAACCACTTATCATATGTGCATATATCAAAATGAAATAAAATCTAAATTATGATAACCAAAACCTGCTAAAACTACCTGTTCCATACTCATATTCGCTCATAATTAATTTCCTCAGACCTGTCAACTTTCAAGCAGTATAATATTATATTTCATAAATGGTTAAATTCCTTTTACTATCAAAATTAAGGACGTTTTTAATGAGAAATGAAAGACAGAAAAGCTGTAATTAAATAAAATGTTAGGAAACAAACAAAACTTTTAGCTTCCATAGTAATTTACTGCTTAATCCTATGCATGTAGCTTTATGGAATTACATATTAAGCACCTAAATGCTATACAAAATGCATAGTGTACATAAATTGATAAAAAATACTAGCTATTATTCACCCATTTTGCTTTAAAATTTGAAAACAAGGAAAACAAAAAAAAGCAATTAAGATTATTAAGAGAAGTAGAAAGAAAATAAAACATTATTAATTCAAAATTTCAAAATGAATCTGTGGTGTCTAATTAAAGAAATTACGTTTAGCAATTGGAATAAATACAACGATCAAAAGTGACATAGTTAAAGGAATAGATTCAATCCTTTATAGACATTTTAATATAAAATCAAAGAGCCTATCTAGCTACATTTTTGCATAATTAGAAAACCAAAAAATATTTATTCGCCGGCCAGACTACATGCTAAACAACTAAGAGCCATGAATTGGGTTATAAAATTTCGAAATAGATCTTTGAACTTTTAGTACCCTCATAAATACGAATCAGAATATTCTAGATCAGTAAACAGGAAAGCAATTGAGTTGGCCATCGCTTGCATTGCTGACTATTTTGAATAAATCAAATCGAACAATATCCGGAAAGGCCTAGTGAGTGTATTTGAGTTCGGGCATCTGAATACACATACGTATTTATCGATTTATGGATTGGCTAAAATAAGGCTTCAAAACTCTTTACCGAGAACTTCCAACATCAAAAGGAACCTAAATTTTAATTGCGTAAACGACCTTATAAGTTATTATCGGTGGTTATGATTCATAACTCATGAATAGGTTCCTTCTAAGTTGACTTACTTTACGAAGTAGAATCTTTGATCAGCTCCACAAACGGCCCTCCATTGCCCTTGTCGTTTAGTAGCAAGGCCAGCAGGTTGATTTGTGACATTGTTTTGCTTCTCATTTCCGATATCCATTAGGGAAGAGCAACAAATTCGAATAAACGTTGTTCCTTATAATAAATAAAATGGTCCCTTTGACGAACATCTCCATCCAAATGCCAACAACTCGACCGAAACTTAAGTATTGTGAATTTCGTCATCTTCGATTGAACATCTCTTCATGATAACGCTACATAAACACAAGCAGAGTGTCCTTATTACATAATGTTCTCCCTTGAAGCACTTTCCTTTCTATTATTAAGTTCTTAGAGCTTACAAACAACCTGCTTTGCTCCCAGAATCTTGTTTTGGATTTGAATTTATACCGCTGGCCACTAGTTCGCAGACTCGAGTACGGGTAAAAAATATATATACAACACCTGCTCCGGCTCGTAACTGAAGTATCTGAATAATCGTACATTTACAAAACTGTTTGCTTCCTAAATTCCAGACATTAAAAGCATGTCGATAATGGTTTTTTAACATGAAATACGGGTTTAGCGCCCATTAGTTAAAACCCATTGTCAAAGAAATACGTCTAAGCAATACGTCTTGATACTAACTGAATTGTGTCACAGGATAAAAGGAAAAATGGAAACGGCCCGGGGTGGGTGGGGGG